ATACAAGTCATTCATTGCACATCAATTATACCCCAATGAAGCTATTTTTAAAGAAAAAAGCTAAAAGAAAAAAAAAAGGAAATGCATTTGCAGAGACAGACAGGACAAGCTAAACTTGGAGGACTACACTCTCTGGAGGAGGGAACCTTCATGAAAAATCATGGAGAAAAGAGGTGAGATGACATCATCTAGAAAGAGAAGGACTCTGAGGCCTTCCCTGGAGGTGCAGGGGTCCCTCAAACAGAGAAAGCCTCAAGTAGACATGAACTGAGGTCCTGGGCATGCAGAAGAAGACAGAAACTGGCTGCTTCTTGAAGAAGCTCCTGGTTTCCCTCAGGACGGTCCTGCCACTCAGGAGAGAAGGAACAGGACAGCAGGCAGGAGTTCATCATGAGTGCAAACTTAAAGGAGCAGGCCTCCTAAGTGACATTCAAGGACCACCACTAGGAATGGCTTTCCCCTCTACATGGCCTTGAGTTTACCAAGTGCTCACATACCAGAGGGTCAGGGCCAGACCGGGTGGAGGGCCGGCAGGGCTGCCCAGGGCAGGCAGTCTTGATTATGGGTAGGTGCTTCATACTCCCCCAGGTGTGGAGCACCTGTAGGCACAGGGGGCAGGGCTGTGGAAAAGTCAACTTGCTGCCAGGCTTGCTGCCAGGCAGCCCTGTCACAGCAGTGTCCTGGCAATCAGTATGTGCCCTTCAGGGCTTCTCGGGGTTGCTCAGTACTCCTTCTCCAGAGCATAAAGCATCACAAGGCTTGTGCCCTCCCAGGGCACCAAGGGAGGGGTGGCTCCCTTCACAGAGCAAAGGTCTGAAATCTCTCCTAAACATAGCGTATTTAGAATCTGCCCCTAAATCTTCCCTAGATCAAGGATAGCTGATGGTCAGCACAGTTCCCACACCTCAGGACCTAAGTCTTCCTGAGGCACATCCCTAAGCTGAGAGGACGGAGGAGCACTCTGCCAGAAGAGAACCAAGTAGTGAGATTGGGTTGTTTCCGTTTCCTTCTGTCCTTAGTAGCAAGGATGTTAAAGACAGAAAGCGTCTTCAGGAAATCCTTTAGGTTATGGCAAAAAAGGGGGGGCACTGCTTCCTTTTCTTTCAATTATTTTAAGCATTAAAAGAAGGGGGACACTACCCCAGAGTCAGGCCCCACAAAAGACAAAACCTCTTTCTCAGGGGTGGGACCAGGAAAGGGCAGATGTGAATGGGGTAGGGGTGGGGCTGTGGCCAGGGCTGGGGCTAGGCAGGAGGACAGGTGTGAGGCTGGGGTGGAGTAGAAGTAGGGTTAGGGTGAGTGGAGGAGGGCAGGGTTGGGGCAGGAGGAAGACAGAGGTGGGACCAGGGTGCAGCTGGGGTGGGGCCTGGTGTTCTGTTTCTGGGAGGATGGTCAGAAGGCCTCCACAGCAAGAGAGAGCTGAGTCTGAGATAATCAGAGGAACTGGGTACTTGAGTTCTGGCATAGGTAAAGGTAACACAGGAGCCCTGAGACAGTATAAGCTTCCAGGTGAAGAGAACCCTGGATCCACCCGCCCCTGCTGGTAAGCATGGGAGCCCCAACACACTAAGGAAAAATATTCTTTGAACCCCTTCAAGACACAGCTCCTCTTCTACAGATCCCTGTGCTAGTCCCAGGATCCTGTCCTCATGCTCACAAGGTCTTCCACTTACACAGGCAGCACTGAACAGGACTTCACTGAAGTGTTTTTAAAGCTAATGATAGAAACCCATAGTAAAAATAAACTTTATGTTATATTGTAACCTAGTGCATATGCAAACAGAAACAAGTTTTCAAATCACCAAGCTTCCTGTGACTACTTCCAATACAGTTCACTTTATATTACGGAAATGCTAAGGTGACTTTGCAGATAACTTAAGAGTTTGAAAAACAGCATTCAAAGGCATTTGCGTCTAGTAATTTTATTCAAATGCAAATCAAAACATGAAAAAATTTTAATATTAATTTCCTGTTTTCCTATACAAATACTTACTTTAAAATAGTGGAATCTAAATTTCTTTGTGTGCTCATGGAGAAAATGCCTAGGGGGACATGTTCAGGAGACCTGGGGGGTAGGTGGGGAAATAGTTTGGGAGGAACCCTAACAGAAACATTGCTTACTAGGGGAGGAGACACCTTCGGTTTCAAAGATGGCTCAATAATTTTCACAATGTTCACAAAAACAAGAAGAGAAAGCAGGACCATGCTTTGGGAGGGACTGTTTGGACTGCTCTTAAGTGTCAGGTTGGAGGCATTTCTATCTCCCCACAATAGAGCTTAAGCCACACATGGACTGCAATGTGGCTGGGACCCACACCTGGCATACTGGATGGACACGTGCTGCTCAATACATTCTGCCTCATAACTTTTGAGTAAGAGCTCATTGTTACCATCAAACCCTAACTTTGCATGTAGGCCCAATTTTTAAATTTCTCCAAATGCAAGTGTCTGTGTGATAACAACTGAACCTTTTGCTAATCTTCAAGTCATTGGTCAAATACATGGAGTTTAATGAGGTATATTCCTCAAAACACTAAGATAAAAGGATGGTTTCCATTAAAAGGTACAAGAAACAGTATTGGCTGTAATGGAAAGTTTCCATGTCTGCTAGCTGCCAGGGTAAACTCTAAAACCAGCTGGAATTAAAATGAGTGTGTTAATGTAATAGGTAGTTTCTCCAGGGACGTGAGCCAGTGGGCTGATCTGTCAGCCAAGGGCTCTTTAATAGAAATGGTGCCAATTTCTCCGGGAAACAAAAGTTCCATGCTCACCCCTGAGGTCAGAAGAGCTTGCACCCAATTTCCAGTAGCCCCAGGGTCCCGGAGAGAGAAATCACACCTGCAGGGAAGCATTTCCCATACTGCCACACTGCCACCACGCACAAAATAGCGCTTTTAAACTGTGCCCTTCGGCCCTATTTAGGGGCATCATTAACGATTTCAAACTCCAACTATTGCTTTATCTCACAATAGTGAAAAATGGGGGAGCTACATTCATTATGGTTTTAAGTCATTTAACTGCAGTCCTCTCGAAGGCAAAGGAAATGCCGCGACGGAACCTGCGGACTTAGGAGGCAGCCGTTCTCCCCCACCGCGGCTGCTTTCCTGAATGGAGGCAGTAGCCTCCGGGAAGGAGCAGTTAAGTGGTTCCTTTATCAAAACAAGGAGGGAATCACAGCAAAGGCGAACGCAGCGAGAACCCCTCCTGCATCCAGGCAGTTCAATTCACCCCGTCGCCCCACCCCCTACCCCATCCCTGACCCACTACAGCTCGGGTTTCAGAAGGGAAGAAAGTCTGGAGGAGGGCGGTCAACCTTCCAAACGCAGGCCCCTCGGCTTAAGCGAGAAGGAGGTGTGAGCTGGGGACTGCGTGCGTGCGCACAGGGACAGCCCAGCCACGGACCAGACAGCAGTGGCCAGGAGGGAGACCCACCAGATCGACAAAGCCTCAACTAGTACGATTTGAAAAATCCCCCGCAGGCACTGGCTTCGGTGCCAAAACCTCCCTGGGTTTATTTTCAGGCAAGTGACTCACAGCCTCCTCTCCATAAGTAATTCCATAAAAACCAGTCGCCGGTTCCACTAGTTCCGCTGCCCTCTGGCTGCCCCTCCCTCCTCTCCGCCCATCCTGCAAACCAGACAGCGCCCAGACAGAACAGTGGTACCCCAGGGGAGCAGAAAACAGGCTCCGGCCCCGCCCCCGCCTCCCGAGTGATGAATGGGGCGCGGGCGGGCGCGAGCCCGAGAAAGGGAGTGCGGGGTGTGTACGCGTGTGTGCGCGCGTGGGCACGCACCCGGCCAACTTACGGAGGTGGAGTTGGTCCTCGCCTGGCCCTGGTTTCGCACCTCCTGCTCCCGGAACTGCAGCCCGGCCAGATGCTTCTCTAGCGCCTCCCAGTCCATTGGGGGCACCGGGGGCTCTTCGGGGACTAATGTCCCGCCGTCCAGAGGCTGAAGACAGGGCGCCCCTGCCACCGGGCCCCTGCCGCCGCGCCGGCCCTCCGCCGGCTGGGGCTTCTGGATCGCCCGCCCGGGGCCCCGGGGGCCGCTCTGCTGGCCGGCCACAACCACATTGCCATTGTGCCTGAGGTCCTGGGGTTCGCAGGGGCGGAGGTTGCCGTTGGGCATTGGGAGCGGCGTGACAGTGGTGACGCTCCGGGCCCCGCCGCTGCCGCTACGGGTCCTGGCGCTCAGGTCCCCGGACTCCCGGGCCGGACAGCGGTCATCCTGGTACCCTCGCTCGTCTTCCTCTTCCTCCTCCTCACGGTCCTCCTCCGGCGCCCACTCATCAATCACCTTCTGGTAGACCGGGAAGGGCGCTTCATAGTCCTCTAGGGCAGATACCAGGTCCAGGCTGCCCCCCGGCGACGACGAGGATTTGCACTCCGAGCAAGGGGTCACTTTGGTGGAGTTGGACTGCGAACTGGAGCGGCTACTGCTGCTGCTGCCGGCGTCACTGCCTAGATCCATCCCATCCTCTCGGTAGTCCTGGGGGAGGAGGCAGAGAGAGTGAGTTGCCGGGCCGAGCTGCTCAGCCGCCGCGCCGGTTGCGAGCCCCCCACGCCCCGGGCCGAGGAGCCCGAGGAGGCCTGGGGGCAAGGGCAGTCCCGGGCCCGAGGTTTCCCTTCGCCCTCCTCCCCCGCACGACCAGACTTCCTGCAGTTAACTAACCCTCAGATTCGCACAGAGGTGCCCGGCCGCCAGCGCGCACATTTCATGCGAGGAGCCCCGGGGCGCGCGCGGACTTTGTTTTAACCATTTTGAGTCGGGCGCGCCCCTGCACCCCGCCCCGGGGATTCTCCAAGAACCGGACGCTTCCCACAGTATTCAGATTCCCTGGGGGCGGGAGCCGAGAAGGGGGAGGGCGCCCACTAATTTCGCACCTCACGGGGCGGTGAGACCACCCCCACCCCGCCCCGCCCCGCCCCTTCCCCGCCCGCCGCCCGGCGCTGCCAGCCGCGGCAGCCAAGGGCTGACTGCACTTTCTAAGGAGCGGCGGGCGGCGACAAGAAGGCCGCCGCCTGCCCCTCCTCCCGCTAGCACAGGGTCGGGACCGGCGAGCTCTGCCCGAGCGGGGCAGCTTGGCCTGCGCTTCCCGAGGTGCGCCTGCCCAGGCGCGGCTCAATCGCGGCGGCTGCGCGGGTCCCGACACCGAGCATGCCCAGAGCCACCAGCGCGCGGTCGGCTCCCGCGTCCTCAGCGGCCGGCTGGAGCCAGAGGCCTGGGGCAGTCGGAGGAGCCCGGGCTCGGGCGTTGGGGGCGCAGGCCTCCCGCTGGTGAGGGCGGCTCCCGAGGGTGCCCTGTGCCCACCCTCCAACACTCGCGCCTCCTGCGCGCGCTCCTGGCCTCCTTGCGGCGCTAGCCACCCAGCCCGAGCCTCCTGGCGCCGCCTAGTCCACGCGGAAGTCCCCGAGTGACCTGGGGGAGGCCCTCCCTCCCCACGCACGCAGATTCACGAGCCCGCGCGGAGCACGAGTGACGCGTGCTCGCCGGCCCGGCACCGGCGTCCCCTCCATCCTCCTCCCGCTTCCTGTCACCGCGCCGCCCAGCTCCTGGCCTCGAAGCCACGTCCCCTCCTGAGCCCAGGCTGCGGTGAAACCTGTTGCTGTGGCTCACGTTTCTATCCCCTCCCGCGGCCGCTGAAATGGCTCAGCGAGGCGTGCCTGTGGGAAGCCAGGGGTAAGTGTTAGAAGGGTAAGTGGCTTGGTGGTGGGGGCCGCGGTGGGTTTGGGGGCATCCAGAGACTCTCCTCCCACCTCCTGGCAAGAAGACCCGAAGGAAGGGCGAGGCTGTGTCCTGTGAGGTGCGCCTACAACATTTGATGGCTTTGCTTCCTTCAATTTCTCTGGAATCCAAGAAACCTGTGCTGGATTTTTCAGATATGCAAGGGTGGTCTCAGGTTGGCAGCTCTTTTTAGGAGGGAGCGTTCTTGGAGTGAAAGGTACCAGCAGTTGGAAAACTTAGCTGTTCACAGAATGCCTTTTAAGGGCTAAGAATTTCCTGTGAAGGAACCCGTCCGCCTGCAAGAACTGGAAACTAGGAAATGCCCTCCTCCCTGTGGTGATAATGAAAAAGAGCACTTAGCCCTACCACAGATTGGGAAAGTCAGCCCCTGGACTTCCAGATTCAGGCTGTTACTAATTATTCCAGTGAATTCTGTCCAGGCCTGGCATAGTGCAGATGGGGGACAGGGGATGCCTGGGATTCTTTTGCAGGGAGAGGCTGCCACCCTTACCATTCTTCTGTGCCCTTCTGGGGACTGTATATAGCAGGACTGCTTCCACTTAGGTAGTCCTGAGCCCTGAGCCTGAAAATTCAAGCTGAGCTTGTAGCTTGTCTAGAAGGAACAGTGGTATGAATAACAGGAAAAGGGGCTCTCTGGTCTGACCAGCTCTTCTGTAAAAAGCAGCTGATTGTAACTTAAAATATACTTTATGCCAACATCTGTAAACAACCTGCCTTTATAATCCAAATATGGTTTGATTTCAGGGTTGCTGCAGAGCCCCAGCTGCCTGCTTGGGTGTGGAGGTGGCCCTGAGAATGTTTAAAGAGCTAGGAACTAGAGAACTGCTCTTCCGTGCCCCTTATGACCTCACAAGGCTTAGGTCAGGAAAAGTGTCTGCTCTGTGGCAGGACACAGGGAGACCAGTAAGCATTGGTGGACTGGGGTGACAGGGAGATTCCATTTTTATGCCTTAGGCCTCCCCATCTCCCACCCACTCTCCCTCCTGGGCACCTGCTTACTCCCCTGCCATCCAGATGGTCCATGTTGTGTTCAGGAAATGCAAAATAAGGCCTAAGAAAAACATTTGGCAAGGTAAATTCACTGCCAAAAATGCATGGTATTTCAAAGCCAAATATAAATGTCTTTGAATTATCTGTATTTTCACATTATTATTTGACCAGATATTCCAGATCAGATGGGAAAGTACCCAGTTTCCCTTTCCTCTTCTCTTCATGCAAGGTGCTTGGCTAGACTACTTTCCATTCTGTTTCCAGCTTTCCATCTCCTGCCAAGAACCCACCCACTTGGGAACTGGAAGCCCTGCTAGCTCCTAGGCCCACTACAGTCTACAGCTCTGTCCAGCAGGATGGAGAGATGATTTGCAAAGTGATTGAAAGGAACATTTTCTCAAGTTAAAAGTTGAACGTCATAGGTGCCAGTCAAGTGGGAGTCACCCCAGAGCCCTCTAGTTCCTGAACCTTCCCCATCCATCACCAGGTACAGGGTCCCTCTTGAATATCCATTAGCCCCTGCCCATTCTCATGCAGCCAGAGTGGCCTTTCTAACAATGCAAATCTGCTTTCTTCTCTCCCTTGCTCCATTAAAACCCCACAGGGCTCCTTCAGGGAACTGATGCCCACCACTGCCTCCAACTTCCTTTGGCAAATTTTAACTCAGCTAAAAAGTCTCAATGTAAATGTCACTTCCTATTGGGCAGCTCCTCTGATTCCTGCCACCCCCTGGGTGATTGCTGGTCCAGTCCACTAGACTCAGGCTATATATATATATATATATATATATATATATATATATATATAAAATACATGTATCTGAAAAAAAGTTTTATGAAAATCTTATATCATAAAATCTTATTCTAATGTATTTAGAACAGAATCTAGTCATACCTCACCATGGGGCTTTCTAACCCTTTGTGGGTCAGGGTTGTTAGGGTAAAAGATGCTCTGATTTCCACAAGGGCAGGGCTATGGTGTTTGTTGCTGAGTTTATGAACAACATTATCTAACTCATTTAATTCTCAAAAATCCCATGAGGAAGCCATTATTGTCTCCATTTACAGGTGAGAAGGTCAAGGACAGTGAGGTCAAGTATCTTGCCAAAGTCAAAATGCTAGAACAGTAGGTAGTGGAGCCAGTTCTAGAAGCTGGACAGTCACTCAGCCATGCACTTCAGATCCCTGACCTGCTGCATACAGAATTTTTCCAAGCAAAGATGTTAGGAGGCAACACCTCAGACTAGGTCTCAGCCTCCTGCCCTCCAATCTTGGGCATCTTACACCTGCAGAGAAGAAGCACTGAGGGCACCTTCCTCCTCAGCCCCACTGTGTTCCATCTCCTCCAGGGCCACCCAGCTCAGCAAGAATCAGCAGAGAGTTGATCATGTCCAGGAAGGCCCTAGAACTCCAAAGATGAAATCTCACATTGGATGAACTCTGCATTAAGTTCCCTCAAAACAAATCCTATAAGAAGGAAGCCACAGTGAGTATGGATCTTCAATAGGAAACCATCCAGACTCATCCTCAAAGGGTAGAGACAAGATGACATTCCTCAGGATCAGTGCTGTTGATAGGATTTTAAATGTGTAAGTCAGAGAGTTTGAAAAGGGAAGAATAGATCTATTTGCAAAATTCCCAAACCAATTTTGAAATCATCAGCCTTGACTCTGAGCTTCCCTGTGCTGTGGCATTTAGAGTAATAAAGACATGGCTGGCAGAGGGCTTGCGTCTCATCTTTATTGCATGAACTACATGCAGGTCATGCCACATGCAGATGCTGTGTGAGAGTGACTGGAGTGAACTGTATATAGAATGTCTGGAACCCATCCCCCATTTCTGACCCAGCCTAGGACCACAGCTTCCCATGAAAGGGGCCTGACTACTTGGCCGTGGTGTTTGGCAGATAGAATCAATGGGATGCCCTAATGGATGAAGCTAGAAAATACAGCATAAAAATGGCCCTGAATCTTTTCATCACCATCCTTATTGAAAGGCACAGTGTATCCCTCTGCTCACTCAAACCAGGGTCTTCCTGTTAGCTACCTGCAACATTTCTTCTTTAATTCTGCAGATACTGTGGCTTGATCTTCGCTATATGTGTAGATATTTTCAAGATGGAACCTAAGTATATATAATGTGGTTTTCTTCTTTCTTTCATTTGGACAGAGCTGTACTTACATAGAGAAAATTCCCTTTAAAACACATACACACCTTAAAGGTTTTGGTTCTGTAGCAAACTGTGAGATTGTATTTATTTCCTACGTTTTCCTCAATAAAACCAAAATGGTACTTAAGAGATGGCTCCAATAATCTCTTTCCCAGACCTGAAACCAGGATGCCTGGCTAGAGGAACATTCCCCCTCTAAGGGAACTCACTAATAATGTGTTTGAGACCAGGATACCCCCCGGGCGCTGGGATGAGCAGCCTTTTGTGCAGCAGAGAAAAGTCAGTGCTGAGTGGGGCCTCCACATAGGGCTTCCCAGAACTAGCCTCTGCTGTGAACTACTCAACAGGACCTGCTTGGAGGGACCACCTGGCACCATCCCCATGGCTGGCAATTTCTGTGTATTGTGGTATGCACAGGGCTCCACCAGGAAGGAACCAGCTGTTCTTTTCTTAGCAGAGTCATACCTCAGATTGGAGGAGAGTGACAAAACTTCAACAACACAAATGCCCTGTCTCTTCTTCCAGAAGTTTTCTGCCATCACCTTGTGCTTTCCTGAAGTTTCTAGCAGATCTTGAAAAAGCAAATGTGTAAGCACCCCTAGTTTCTTTTGGAGCTTTGTTGATGGGTATAGATTACCTAAAAGGGCTTATTTAGGAGGAGCTGGGGAGCTCATGGGTGTGTTCACTGCAGGAACATAGAAAAGTATCTGGAGCAGTAGCACAAAGCCCACATGCACAAGACCCCAGTAAAGATGAACCACCTTGGAAATTCTGGGCCTTGTGCTCCTGTGTATTGTGCTTCTTAAGAAGCACATCTTGCAAGCTGCTTTACAAAATGAGCAACTACAAAGTGAGAACTCTGCTGGTCCCTTCTTGACATCACTTTGGAAGTGTAATGAAATGGGAAATAGCTGCTGGTCTTGCCCCATGGTGCCTGGGAAAGATGGAGGCAGTGTGGAGGGAGAGACGGTCCTCTCAAGAGATTTGGCCTGCAGTCAGGGCCACTGGCCTCATGGTAGAGGTTATTTCAACCTCAGAACCTGCTGGAATTTCATGGGCCATCACTCAGATACCTGCAGAAGCCAGAGAGATCAGAGAAGTGGACACCAGGGGTGCAGGGCCAGGTTACTGAGCTGCAGGGCAGGCGTGGAGATTCCATGTTAGAATTCAAGACACCAGGCAGCTGCCACTAGAACCCTGGGGCAGAGTTCTCATCTGTTGGAAAGCCAACACTAGAGACACCATGGGTCTTAGCATGGTGGGACTAGGGCCTGGCATCGCTACAATGCTCCGGCTCAGGCCAAAAGTGTCTCTATCCGCGTGATGCCCCCGACTCCCACCAAGGTAGGGGTCAGCAATGGCTAAATATCAACCTTGAGGAGTGGGATCCCTTATCCAGTGCTTGAGATGAGGGTTAACTAGACTTGTTACTTTTTAAGTAGAAAGATAATTGACCTAAATAAACTTTCAGAATATCACAATAAAAAATGGTTCCACCAAAGCAGTTTGTGATGAATTTTAAAAAATCACAAAGTACATAAGGGCTCTCAAAAAGTAAAAACGCCCAACTTCACTAGTAATCAAAGAATGCAATTTCAATTACAGTGAGGGGACAGTTTTCCTGTCCAGGTATTTAGAAATGACTGAAAACTGTAACACTCAGTGTCAGAACACACGTGGTCAAAGGAACACTGTTACACTGCTGCTGGGTTTATAAACTGGTTGCTTCACACTTTCTAGAATACTATTTGATAACACGTCTTAAAAATCTACATAGCTGTGCCCAGCGACCTGTTATCAGTTCTGCAAGTGTTCCTGGAGTGCCTGCTGCCTGCCGGGGGGATGTGGTGGTGAAATAAAAAAAACCTTGCCTCAAATGGAGCTTCAGTCAGTTGGGGAATAGACATTACAGGCAGAAAACAGAATAATTTAGATTTAAAATGTAATAAGGACCCCAAAATGGGCTGGAGTGCTGTGGAGAGAGCAGAGGTGTGACAGGGACATTGGCAGCTGAGACATCGTAGGCAGAGGGAAGGACAGAATGGAACCTTGAGGCTGGGAGAGGTCTCGGCTGGAAGGAGGCCCTGGATGGATCAGGAGGGAGTGGCAGTGTCAGACCAGGTGGGAGTGAGAGGGGTTGCCATGAAGGTCTTCATCCCGAGAGCCACACATGGGTCTCGGCAGGTCGGTGCTTGGGGACCTGCTCTGTGTGGCACGGGACTGAGCTGGGCTGGAAGGACGGGCAGGGCAGGACTGGTGGGGAGAGCCCTGTTAGAAGGCAGCAGTATCTGGAAGAGGCTGCAATGGGTCTTGGGGAGGCATCTAGGAAGCAGTCACAGGACCTGGTGGCTGGGAATAGTGGTGAGGGGGACACAGGATGGGTCCACAGGCAGCCTAGTGGAAGGGTGGAGCAACCACTGAAGGGGATCTAAAAGGAAGAGGGTTGGATAGGGGAGGAGAAAGGGCAAGCAGCCTGGGGAGTTCTGGAGGGAGATGAATGCCAGCTCTGGTGGGAGAGGGATGCCAAAGCCTCGGGTGGAGTAGCATGGCTTGGAGACAAAGCAAGAGGAGGCCAAGCCTGAGGGTGCCACATCGACAGAAGCAGGTTTGTAAGGAAGATGTGGAGAGGAGGGACCCTTGCCACTTCCTGAACTCCTGGCCCACAGAGCCCACAGGGATCCAGATTCACGTAGGAGGCGCTCAGTGCAGCATTTACAATAGGACAAGTTAACGTCAACCTGAAATGTCAGAACCGGCAGGAAGATATTCAGACTCGGACATGGCATTCTATGGAATAGATGTCAATAAGATATCTTCCAAAGCTGCAGCATAGAGAGGGTAGAATGTCAGGCTTACTACATGATTCACATTTTCAAAAAATTAAATGTTTATATGGCTAGGGGGAAAAAGTAGGTGGGTATTAACAGTGGTTAACTAATGGTGAGATCGCAGCTGATTTTTTTGCCTTTTTGTCTATGTGTATATTTCAGTTTCTTTGTAATAATCATAAAGTAAGTGTTAAGCATATTTATTGTACTTAAGATGCATGATTATAAAATTGGTTGAGGAATTCCTTTTTAAAAATAATTGTTCAGAAGAGCTAGAATTAATTTATATAAAGTCTGATGAATCCTTTTAGAAAACAAATCATTTTATGGTTCTGTAAATCCCCAGCTAATGTGAAGTTTTGGGTATACACTTCAGCTCGCACACTTCTACAAGACAGTTTGAGGTCCTAGTGGTCTGAAGGAGAGATTGGCAACTTATTTGTGAGGGACTTGATAGTAACTATTTTCAGCTTTGTGAATCATACAGTCTCTGTTGCCCAGTCTTATTAATTTTTTTTAAGCAGCCCTGTGAAAGTGCAGACTCTCTTGGCTCTGAGTCCATGCAATAACAGAGAAAGACAAGAGAAGACTTCACTGGGCCCCAGTGAGACCTCTGCCCTGAAGGACAGATGTCACGCAAGGGAGCTTGGCTGCCTTTCATAAAAGCTCATGTAATGTTGGGACTGTAACCAGATGAGTCTTCAGTTAGTAGAATAATGGCAGCAGTTCATGTCTGTTTTTCATGGGAGGCAGACCAAGTGGAAAGGTGAAAGAGCAATACTTCAGAAACCGTTCGCATGTTTTTAGTGGGAAATGATCCTATGCAAATACGTCAAGGAGTTAGTATTTTTAACCTAGAAAAGTAGAAGCTAAAGAAAAGTCTTGTTGTAAAACAATCTTTTCTTATTCTATAATCTTAAGATTTCTGTTCTGAGGGAGTGTGATGGGTATATACATCTACCTGTCCAGTTGTTCATGCTGCAGACTTGAGAGCACCCTCATCTCCCCTGTTCTGGACCCCTCACCAAATGTGGTCAGTGCTGCACCCAATCCCCACCTCAGTCTCTTCTAGAGAGCCTGACATGAGTTGCTGGGTTCTGACATTCTACCTTCCCAGGCATCTGTGTGAAGAAAGGCTACTGGGCTTGATACTCATCTCATGTACTAACATGATAGGACAGAATGCTGTTCTGTGGATTAACACCAAGCCTTGGTGACTCTTGTGAGTATCTTATAAGTTGTTCCACAGTGATCTGATACTCAAAGACACCCATAGGGATAAACAGGTGGAAGAGGTTTAGCTTTCGATTAAGACTTCGATTCAGAATCATAGCTGGCATTATTAGCACTAGTGAGTGGAGATAGTTGCATGTACAATACTGTTGGTGTTGCTAATTGTATCTGATCACATTTTTAAATCATGCTAATAACTAATAACCTATAAGTAATCTCCTGTTATAAGACCTTTCCATTTTATTAGGCTGTAATGGGTTCACTGGTGCTTAATATGATGTGAATATTTGCTGACTCCAAAGAATGCCTTTATTAGAATATGCATATGTGTTCAATTTATCGTCTCAATTACACTTACATTAAACCTTCAAATTAAGTTTGTAAAAGCAGGTGATATGTAAGCTGCAGAGCCTGTGGGTTGCGACCTCTAGTTCTGTTACCTTCAAGAATGAGCACTCTGTGAAGCAGAGGGTTCTCCTGTCAAGAATGAGTGCCCCCAGCAACTTGGAGCTGAGGCAGGAGGGTGGCAGGTTCAATGCCAGCCTCACCAACTTAGCGAGGCCCTAAACGACTTAGCAAGACCCTGTCTCAAAACAAAGAATGAGTACTCCGTGAAGCAAGGGTGCGCCTGCCTCCCTGGGAGATGCTACCCAGCACCCTGCAGTGCCACTGAGCCCAGGCAGGGAAGGAGCTGCAAGCAGGAGGGACACAAATCTCCTACAAGGGCCAGCAATTTCCCCGACTCCATCTAAAATGATTCCCTCTTACTGTTTTTTTTTACTATAGAAGTAAGAAATTAGACCCTCCGTGTATTTTTCCAATAAAATACACTTTGCTCAAGTTACTCATAATCTTTTCCCACTGGCAAATCTATTATAAAAAATAAAGTCGACTACTGTTTGGTTTGAGAATCAAGAAATGGAATGCCTAGCGTTCAGTTAGCCCTTGTTTGTAAATAATTATCCGATAACAGAGACTTTCCCCTTCTTGTGGAGAGTAGATTCAAAACAAAACAGAAATCTGTCCCCAGGTTGCCTATACAAAGTACCTCCGTTTAGAACCTTGA